CACACTACCAGAAATTAGTGAACCAAGGAGGTACAGTAAAAGAAAAAGAACAGCAACAGAACATTTGAATATTAAACCGAAGCTGAAGAAATATAGACTCCAGAGAAAGTCATCTCAAAGGGGGAGGGTGTTAGATAGGAATAAAGTGTCACTTCCGACACTTGAGTTCAAACACAGATCACCATTTCTAGTCTATCCTCTTTTACTATATGGATTGCTATTCTCTTCTCTACACTATTCTCTATACTGATTACTATTTGGATTACTATTCAGTGGATACTGTTCAAGCAAGTATCACCGAGCAAATACTATTAGTGCAGGCGTTATTTGAAGGTATCTGACACCAGTATTGTTTCAACCATGTTACTATAGTTGTATCTGTGATTACAAAGTCTCTACTACAATGAGCATTATGAAAGTGACAACAAGTATTTGTTGACATTTCTGTTTTTGTTTCTCTTAATTTTCTTTATTATATACTATTCTACTAACTGTGTTTTCTCTCATTTTTAATTCTCATATATATTTTGACAGTATGGTGTTATTTTTATATCTTTCATGTTTGAATGTTAGAAAATGGTTTGATTATCTTTCTTTAAACTGGGAAAGGATTGAAAGAAAGATATGCAAACTATCAATCATAAGAGCATTCAAAATAAACAGGTATCCATTTTGAAAACTTGTTAAGCATTTAATGAGTGAATAAATAAAATAAAAAGTTATTTTTATGTGTATTGAAAATCTCTTTCAAAAGTAACTAAAACAGAGTACTTATATAATATAAGAAAAGGAGTATGCATATTATATATATATATATATATATATATTCATATATATATATATATATATATATATATATATATATATATATATATATATATATATATATATATAAAAAAAACATTTGAATTCTGAATTCCTGGTGGGGTTTCTGGGTTTTTTCCATTATATTTTATTTTTTCCTTTTTGGTCCACATTATTATCTAAGTGATACAGAGTAAACTCATTTTCTATACTTCCTTTTAGATGTATTTTTTTTTTCCAGAAGATTACTTATTTATTTATATATATATATATATATATATATATATATATATATATATATATATATATATATGCCAATCTCCTGCACTAACAGATGAAACCTCTCATTTTGATAGTTATATCTTTCTAAGCTACCTATGGATATAGCTTTATATATATATATATATATATATATATATATATATTAAGTCAACTCAGTGTAGTTGCTGTATAAATCATAGATTAGCTTTGTGGGTGCCTAAGAAATACAAATGTTTCTGAGCAGGCATCTGCAACAGGGATTAGCAGACAAACAAACGAACAGCCATTGTATAAATAGATACATCAATATTTACAAAAATTAAAAAATTAATGGAATGAAAATGGTCAATATGCAACAGAGAAATGTAAAATTATATGTGTGTGTGTGCAATATATATATATATATATATATATATATATATCCTGATGAATGGACAGAGTGATTGTTGGAGGGTCCATCTACAAACTCTAGAGTCAAGATGCTGAAGGTAACTTCAATCAGCTAATTGACAAATGTATTTGTATTAATATATATATATATATATATATATATATATATATATATATATATAAAAGAGTAGATCAATAAGTCTATAGTCTCACATGTAACTAAATTTTTATCTGAAATTTTCAAATTGTGGTATTAATATTTGCCATTGAATTAAGGACTTTGATAGATTGACATTGGTTGAAAAATAAGTATTCCATCTCAACCTAAATGCATTTTTCACCAATGAACAATTACCAAAAAACTTTTACCCTTCTTTACATGTTTAAAAATTGTAAACATGATTTCTTCTTTACATTTAAATAATTTTTTTGAAAAAATAGAGAAGTCTGATATTTGAAAAGCCCTTTTATTATATATTCATTTTTAATAACATAAAAAGCAGGTACAATGACAATTTTTCAAAATTCTAACTTTTTCGTTGTTATAGTTTTTCCTTCCAGTGTGGTAATTTTATTGGAGGGAAAAAATTAATTAGCTTCATGATAATTTCATTTTTACAAACATAATAATTGCTTATTGCAATGAAAATATTTGGCTATTATTATGAAAGCAGTAATAATTTTATTGTAATGAGTAGGAAAGAAGGAAAGTTATAATCATTATGACCATAATAATAATAATGGTAAGGATGGTAAAGAAGAAAGAATAATTATAATGACATTTTTTAAACAAAAGATTGTTAGGAAAAGTACCATATTTGACAGCATATAAAATGCACAGATGTATATGACACACTCCAATTTCAGCAGGGTAAATCAAGAAAAAATTAATAATTAGTAAAATTAGTAAATCTACGTATGGCATATAAGATGCAAGGGAATATTAAAAGATATTTTTTGCAAAAAAAGGTGCACTTTATATGGCATCAAATATGATAATTATAATGATGTTATTGAAATATCATGGATATAAGCAAAGAAACAATCCTCAATGGAATTTTCTTTCTAAATTTAAAAAACAATTGGGTTCTTTTAATCTTTAAGTCTACTCTTCAGCAAAATAATAAATGGAAAATAAAATTTTGCTTCAGTAAAAAAATAGATAATGTAAAAAAAATTATTTACTTAGATAAGTGATATTTGTAATAATTTCAATCACAAAACAAAACTTATTGAAGAAATAGTTTTTAAAAATGAAAATTTTCCAGAAATTGATAAAATTATTATTATTTTTTTTTTTGCAATCATATAATTTTTATAATTAGAAAAGATGTTTTTGATTAAATACTTTGTTGTTATTTCAAAAATTAATTGAAAAATGTTTCAATTAGATACCTGATTTTTAAAATGTCTACAGCTGAAAAAATGTATTTTAATTGATAGTTTTCCTCCATGTTAAGTAATGACATCCCTCATCAAAAAATATTTTGGCTCTTATAAGCTTTCTCATAAAGAAATAAAAAAGCAGCCATTGATAGGTTTGTTGTTCATTTCAATGTCTTTTTTGCTGCTGCTGCTGCTGCTGCTGTTTTTTGTCATCATTAAACTTTTATATGATGTTGTGTCAGTGGCTTCAGAATCAAACACCATGCATGAAAAATTAAGAAAAAAAAAGCCATTCAGTGCTTAAAATGCTGATGTACTATAGTATATCTTTATCAAATCATTTTGTTTTTGTTTTGTTTTTTTTCCTGCTATTTCTTCTTGAAGACATTGTTTGATATTTTTTTCTGAAGATTTTGTTATATTTTTATGATGGACAATGATAATGTTCTTCAGCAGAAGGACTAAAAAGAGAAAGCAACAAATATCTTATGTAGAAAAGGATAATATATTTGATACTATAAAAATGATATCTAAATGTATGATAAATAGGTGTGTGTGTGAGAAAGTATAGATATACACACACAGATACACACACACACATATATATTTAGTGTACTGGAGCAGCAGATCATTATTCAAACATATATTGTTAAATATAACTGACATTGAATGTCTATTATCATCAGAGTGGTTATATGTAATGTCCATATAACTGCTCTGATGATGGCTCATGTGAGCTGAAAGCTTATATCAAGGAATAGCTTAATAAAAAAAATACCCAAATATTGGACAGTTTTTGTCTTTATTTTCTCCTGAAACTAAGGCCACCATAGAAAGCTTAGAACATAGTAGACATTCGTTGTCTGGTATATTTAACAATATATGTTTGAATATATATATATATATATATATATATATATATATATATATACACACACATATATATATATTTATATAAGCACTTATTGGATTTTTTTTATCTGACATTATTTTTCATTACTATAAACATTATATTTAGTGCAGTGTCTGCTCAAACATGTGTATCTACTAAATATAATGTTTAGGTAAATATACATACATATATATATATATATATATATCATGGTGGCCAATTGACTTCACTGTTTCAAGAGATGATGCAACCTTGGAACTTCTCATTGCATTTCTATTTGAATGTCTATTTTCATAATAGGCTTCAATAACTTTAACACGTTGTTTGATTGTTAATCTTTCCATGGTTGAAATTGCCAAAGACATATGTTGTTAAATCTGAAAGAAAAAGAAAAAAATCATTAGACGCTTAAACTTAATTCACATCTAAAATTGCTCCAATTTATTGGAACACCCTTTATATATATAATTAATATATTCAAACATATGAGCTTATTGCCATAATTCAGTTTACTCAGCCAGTTTTTGCAGATATATTTCTTTTTATAAAAGAGTAGCACATATTTTAAAAATATAATATCAAGCAAAAGTAAAGGCATTCTAATCCAGCCAGCCATTAAAGATATTCTAATTCAGTCATCCATTGTCATTAAGAAGGATACATGCTACTGAAGAGGCATAAAGAAGTCAGTTGTTTGACTGTTATTTGACCTTTTTGCTCATTAATATATGCCAAAAATTGTCCCCACACTGCCACCCTCTGATGTGTCTTTTCCGCTTTACGTTCACGTGATTGTGCATCGTTGGATTTTGACTCTGGCTTACCCACATGTTTTTAGCAATCTGCACGTTATCTCGGGATAACCTGTAAAAATACTTAATTTACATCATTCGGATTGCTGTCCTCATCTTTATTGCCATATTCACCATGTTACAGTCATTGTACACTCTGGATTTCTTCAGGTGATATATGTTAGAATTTCAAACCAAAGTTTTTTAATTTAGTCCACAGGGGTAGATTGTTCTAACTCCTGTGAGCTAAATAAAGGGTTCAGTTTGAAATTTCAACGTAAATCATCTGAAGAAGGCTGGAGCATACACTGGACGAAACATCATGAATGTGACAGTAAAGATGTGAACAACAGTTCAAATGATGTAAATAATGTAAATAGTTACAATACCTCATCTCAGAAATGTAGACTGTAAAACTGCCTTCTTTAAATCTTTTGTTGAACAACCACTTCAGTACTTTCCTTTGTTTCCTTCAGGGCCAGGGACGAATTGAGAAAACAGAGATTATTGAGATGGCAATCAGGCATATCAAACATCTGCAGAACGTTCATAGATCAATCGGTAAGTACAGTATGTGTTCAGTTCATATTTTACATGTATTTCTAAATATTTTTCTTTGTAACTTTTTGTGTGACTAGAGTTATCCCCCTTGCATCGGCTACGTCTTTGTTTTAACAATGAGAGACTGTTCTAAGATGCTGACAAAGCCTGGAGATAAAATGATTTACAAGAAAAGATTTATAAGAATAGAATACAGTAACAATATATACATTTTTAAGATGGCATAAGTAAAGTAGAATTGATATTTGATTCTACTAGATATAAAGTGGGAGATCGTTCTTCTATTGTTATTAAGTAATAAAACTAATCCCCCCAAATTATTACATATTAATAATCAAAAAAAATATATTTAATGGCACACATGTGAAAAATATGTTCTGTAGGTGTTAGATTCTCCAAGCATTCTTTCCTCATATGCACATGCCTTTCATTGTTCTTGTTCTGCCATTCACTCATCAATGTCCTGTCAGTTTTAGAGTAGTGGCATCCAAACCTCCTTTAAGAATATATACGTTCACCTATCATCTAGTTCACACTCCTCCCCAGTCTTTTGGACAGGAGTAGAGGTTTATTCCTTGTTTCCTGTTTAGGATTGGGATTCTGGTTTCTTCAACTCTATACTTTTAACGTCTCCACCTAAACTCTGAAATTTTATTTACTATTTGTTTGCTATTTAGTTTATTATTAAATATTAGCCATGACAGTATTCATAAACACCCTGTCCCTTCCTTTTAAGTATAATGGAGACTTTCTGTGTTACAATTAGAATTTCACTGTATTAAATTCATTCTTAATCTCTATGAATCTCTCTTTTGTTTATTTCCTTATTTTAGTGAGCCAAGGTCAGTGCTGTGCCGAAAAATTCTACCTTGGGTTCAAAGAGTGTGAAGCAGAGACAATCAGGTATTTTGTTGAGTGTGAGGGCCTTGACAGTAAAGACCAGTTCTGCATGAGAGTCATCAGCCATCTGGAAGCAGCCAGCCAGAAGTTTATCTCAGGTAAATAATTCTTGATACATAAAAACAGCTAGGTCTACTAGCTGGGATATTAGAAATTCTACTCAAATTATTGTTGTAGCATACCTACAGATGATAATAGGTATATCCCCATTCACATAAATACAGTAGTAAATACTGTATGTTGGTATGCAGTTGGAGATTTGTCTCCAGCTGTGACTGGTCAGGCTCTCTGTCTCCGGGTAGAGAGGATCCCTGACAAGTCTATGTTAAAGGGCTGAGTCTTGTCTCAGGAAACAGCTACCCAACCCTGTTTTATACGGGGTCTATGGGGAATTTTTGGCCAAGCTACATTAAATTCAGCCTTGTGCCACATTTGATCACATGGAGCGCTTGGTAGATATCCTGCAGTTGGAGATTCATTGTGGAATTCACTTGACTCACTTCTAGCAGTTGACTACTTCTTCTATGTGCTGCTGGTGAATCTTATATCTGTTGTTCATGTCCTAAGTATTATCGTTCATTACCAACTTTCGTTTAATTATTCTATTCAGTAATCTTCCCTAGGTTACAACAATTATCAATATTTATTTTTATTCTCAGATATTTGCATTTTCAAATCCATCAGATATCAGCAACGAATACTTTGGTTGTTGTCCTTTTCTTTGTTTTAAGGGGTTAGGCAGTATTCCCTCTAAATTGTGTGACCACTTTGAACATTACTATTAAAAGAAAAAGATAATTTAAGCCTTCTTAAGTAAACAATGGGTACATTTTTTTTTCTATATGGATTCAGCAATACATATTTATTTGTATGCACTTTCATACCAGAAACCTTTTTGCCAGATTACCACTCAACTGAGATCTGTAAGAAGGTAAAAGAAATTATAGATTATTCATGAACTGGGCCAGACTCTACAACCACACCACCAACATCCGCCTATGCCAACGTCATAAAGTAGAAAGGATTATTTTCAGAGAAATACATACATACATATATATATATATATATATATATATATATATAAACATCAGTAGATTAATATCTCATTTTTTATATATATGTTACATAGCAATATTTCTCAAATTTTTACTTCTTTTTTTATTAATGTGTTTACAGAAACCATTTGTCTTTTGAAATAAAAACATAATAAGCAAAAAATAGATGAATATAAAATTTCACACTGTCTATCTCTTGAAAACTTAATGTCCTTGACTGTATAGAGGAAAGGTTGAGAATTATAGAGTTTTATTGTCCAGAGCAATTTCTGTATGAGAATCCAAACTCATAAAGAGAAAATCTGTAAAAGGTAGCAGAAATTTTATTGCCAATTCTAGATGCTGATATTCTTCTCAGTCCTTCAAGCATAGAAATAAATACTTCATGGGAGCCATTAATGAAGAAAGAATGAGAAATGACAGTAAAGCTTGTGCAGCTACAGTAAAAAAAAGATAACAGCAACAATAGCAGTGTTAGCAGCAAGAACATTAAACTTAAGGTTGCAAGTTCTAGGTTCAAAATTGTCTTCTGGGAGGTTTATGCCCATATCACATTGAAATACAATGTTGAGCCTGGTCAGTACTTAGATGGGTGATCACTTGGGGATACCACATGCTGTAAGCTTGGATGAACAAGTGGTGTAATGGATAATGGCCCAGAATTAGAAATAAATAAAAATGTGTCACTTCTTTAAAAATTGCTTTGTTTACATTAGGATACTAAATTGAGTAGATATGAATGTTCAAAGAGTATGAGAAAGATTTGCATTTATAAGGCACTATTCAACTTTGCTTGATCATCAACGCATTTCATGGCCAAGATAGTCTAATGCATGTCGGATTTCATGATGGTTTTCCCTGCCAAGGGGGACACAGGTTCAAATCCTACCAGAGAGCCCATATTTTTTTATTAAGGTTTCTCGTATATTCAGACTGATTGATGAAAATAAATAAATATACTGTTTAATAAATAAACGGAGCTTCTACTCTAATATAAGTAACCACTAAAAATAATGTTTAAATACTAAATTGTAAATAATTAAAATGCCTCATCCCAGAAATTCAGACAGAAAAACTGCTTATATTTTTAAACATTGAAATTTGACAAAATAAAATAAATTGTACTGCATTGAAGAAATTTTTCTTGTGCACCAATTTTGGATGAATTTATGATCTTTAATTTTCTTCTTTTGGTTTTGTTATTTACAGGCAATGGGAACTGTGGTGAATACAGAAAAGAAGAAACCAACACTGATGATAAAGGAAACATAAATTCTACAATTGGTTCCGAATGTGAGAGCAGCAAGCCACAAAATCTCAAAGCCGAGATGGTACCACAGTCCGTTCCAGCTATTTTAGCACCTTCACATGAATCCATCAATTCGGCTACCAGCAAACAGCTACGTAACTTACTTTCTCACGGCAACTCAGGTTTTGAGCAAGTTGATAGTGGCAATGGAAGCTGTGTTGATTCCTTGAGTGCATATTCAAGCAGTGAGTCATATGTGTCAAGTATCCCGTCACATGAAGACGGGGGATCACACTTGGCAAGTACAGAGGCTGAATCACACTACCGGAGCCACAGCAGTTCAGAAGGCTCATCAAGTAGCAATAGTAAAGACAGCAAATTCACAAACTATAAATTCAAGCATGATATCACCAAGCGTTTTTCACAAGAAGAGAAATTCAGTGTCGATCCATCAGTGTCGGCTCATCATGAACGGATTCTTGAACATGACAGTAATGTTTATGAAAAGCATATCCACGGTCATGAAAAACATGGTCTGGAAAAACATGGACACAGCTATGAAAAGCATGAAAAACTATCTGGCAAGTTAAAACGGAAGATAGTGCGATCAAAATCTCCGAGTTCTAGTTCAGACTCAACAGTGTACCCAACGTCAGAACACAGCTCGAATGGAAACGGTGGTAACATGTCATCGATTCAGTGTCGCACTGCTGAGAATGATCTTGTCACCACTGCTGTTCCACTACCAGCTTTTGTCCTTCACCCTCAAGGGACACACTACCTGCCTCTTACAATCCAGCCATCATGTTTCCAGAACGCCCTACCACAGCTTGATCGCCTGCAACAACCGCTTGTGTTCCATCCAATTAGCATTCTAGTTAATTTCTCAGCTCCAGGTCTTGTAATTCAAAATGCAGAGGCCTTTGTCAGCTCAGTGAATCCGTCAACAGCCTTTTCCAGTAACATGTGCAGCAACCCAGGCATGAATCCCATGACAAACATTTCAGGCAGCAGTAGCTGCAGTAGTAGTAGCAGCACAAGCCGTGAAAGTATTAGCAGCAGCCGCAGTAGCAGTGGAAACCACAGTTTGATGAACATTAGCAGTGGAAGTCTCAGCAGTAGTAACAGTACAAGTTCCATTGGTAATAGCAGTAGTATGAACTGCTCTTCTGGAAGCAGCAGTAACAGTAGTTGTGGTTCCCTGCCTCCCAATTCTAGAGTAGTTACACCTCCAAATAACATTTCTGGTCCTATTTCGACCATGGCTCCAACTAGCACCACTCCAGTCATGAACAACATTATCTCTCATAATAACATCCAGCCTAACACTCATATTCCACCAGTGTTGCTCAGTGGTGGGGCCAGTGGTCCAGAACACCATTTAATTGTTAATTGCAGTCTGCAAGGCAGCTCAGGCATCACCAATACTTCTTCCCCAATCCATACAAACAACAACATAAGTCTCAGCCCTAACGCTAACCTTCACCATCCAGCACCTCCTCCTCTTCATTCACATCAACATCATCTTCATCCACATCAGACAAACAACACCACCAGCAACAACACTAATAACAATAATCCTAACATGAATATGAACACTCCATCATCACATTTGAAGATGGAAGACAGAAATGATAACTCCAGTAATGTTGTGTCCTCATCACATTGTTATCCAAATCTTTAAAAATCCCAAATGTGTGTGCAGGGAGGGGGGATTACAAGAAAGAAAAAAAAGAATATACAAAAGAAACAAAGCAAGAACAACTTTATTTTTTTTTTAATATTTGTTTTTTTGAATTCTCCAAGTGAGAGGTCAAGTCTCGCACAAAAGTTAATAAAATGACTAATTCGAATAAAAAACATGAAAAATTAAAACAGACAATTTTTGGTCAGGGTTGGGTGGGGGTAAAGACAAAAAAAAAAAAAATTAAAAATACTGTCAATCTCACATGTCAACAAAAGAGTATTTTGTCGATGACATGGTGTATTGTGTCTATTCTGTTAATAATCTTTGTTAGCTTCAGTTTGTTTTGTTTTCTTTTTCTGTTTTTTTTTTGTGAGTCTCCTTTATGACGACATTTTTTTTTTATTCACGAATATATTTCCCCTGAAAAAAAAAAAAAAAAAAAATGTATAAAGAGAAAAAATGGAAATAACACATCTTTGAAAAAAAAGATATTAAAACAAAGTTGATTATTTTCTTATGTTGATTGGACAATTTTGAAAGGAAATACTGAAAGAAAAATACGACACTTCTTTTGAAGTGACTTGTCTGTGATTTGAAACAATATTTTGAAAGGACATTTTATATATATATATATATATATATATTATATATATATATATATATATGTTGAGACAGTCAATGATAATATTGGTGATCTTTTAAAGTGTGTGAACTTTGAAATCCAAAGACAAAGAAAGACAGTTTTTTTTTTTCAAATATACATACAAAAAAAACATGATACTTGTTTATTTTTTATTTTGGTTTTTGTTGTTATTTTCCCTTCCTCTATTATTCTCTTTCTTCTCTCTAAAGGAGAGACTGAAAACATGAACAGGGAATATATCTATCTTTCTTTTTATTTTGAATTTGCATTCATTCATTCATATTTTCTCTCTCGTTCTTTCAGTATCTGTCTATTTACAAATATTTTAGGAGAGTTTTTTTTTTTTTTTAAAAAAAAGAGAAAATATTTAAAAAGACTTTAATCATTTCTGGAATTTTTTCTATAAAAAAAGAAATTATTTTGCCTTTTATTTTTAATCCGTTGATAAGGGAGATTACTCAAGCTAAATCAGCCAACGAACAAACGATAAATCACTCAATATCAAAGTAATTGTTTTATGTTGAAATATATTTTGACCTAAAAAAATAATACAACATGACAACAATTAAAAATATACTAGCAAAAATACAAAAAAAATTAACATATATAGTTTATTTGTCCTAATTTATTTTTTCATGTAAAAAAATATTCTTTGTGAATATGTTAAAAAAAATATCTTCAGTCAATTTCATTCTCTTTGAATTTGATGTCTACTTATTAATCTTTTCTTTCTTTTTCTATTCGTTTATTTTACCTATCTCTGTCTCTTTGTTCTCCTTCATTTTTTTCTTGTTTGCTTCGTAGATTTTGTAAAATCTTAATTAAAAAAAATCAAAATTTAATACCATTATAAGTTATCTCCCCTTAATTCTTAACCAGTTTTGTCTAAGAATACCTGTGTATACTGTATAGGGAGAATTTCGGAAGAGCAGCTCATTTATTTTGGTATTTTATCTTTAAGATGTTAAATTTTTATATCATAAATATGTCTTTATTTTGTATTTTAAATATACAAACTGGAAGCACTAATTTGTAAATATATAAAAATTTCATCATTTAAAAAGCCAACTTGAACTTTATACTTCAGAGTTAATGTTAAGGTAATTACACTACTGGATTTATAATGGAAGTACACTCCCAGAATTGTAATGTCCAAATCTAAGGTAGATTGTTTCAATAGTGAAATTTTATCATAACTATTTGCCTAATGTTAAGCTTTTGAGAATACCTATTTCATTACAAATATAACAGAGTTTTTTTATATAAACAATATCTTCACTATTTACATTTGGACCATTGTCCTCATCTTTGTTTTTGTTAGTACAATGTTTCAGGTGCTGTACCCTCTGGCCTTCATCAGGAGTAGGTTGAACCTACAAGGAATTTTAAACTGAATCATTTATTTAATCTTCGAGGTAGATGGTTCTATTTCCACTGACCATGTCTAGTGATAACTCATCTAGTTCTTATTTAATACGGTTAAGTTACTGCTAACTCATTTCCACTTAGTCCAAATACATATTCAATCAGGGATTGAATTCACAATTACTATAGCCCACAGATTAAAGTCTAATGAATTAAATTATTGGTTCATGAATTTGGTAGCATAGTAATTGTGAGTTCAATCCCTGCACCAGGCAGAGTGTATTTGGACTCAGTGGAAATGGGGTGAGCAATAACTGAGCACTACTAGATAAAAAATAGACATGGTCAGCAGAACAAAAGCAATTTTAATGGATTAAATAAAGGGTTCAGTTTGAAATTCCTTGTAGGTTACTTGAATCAATAGACACCTGATGAAGGATGGATGACACAATGGCCAAAACATTGAGATAACAACAACAAAGATGATGACAGTAGTCCGTGTGTAAATAATAAGTCCTCATCCTAGAAATTCAGAAAGAAAATATCTTTACTATTTTCAAAAACAAGAACAATAAAATTTTCTTCATCTAATAAATACCACATAAAAAATTAGGAATCATTTTTTTCTTTTTTATTATAATAAAAATCTCTGATTTGTATTATATGAGTGAAATAGAAGGATATCTAACTACGAAATATATATACGTTTTGTTATCATGATCACAATGTAGAGATACTAAATTGTGTTGTTTAAGATGAATTTGGTGTAACACTGTTTCATTGCTAGATGAGAGTTCTGACCTAATTTTTTTTACCAATATCGTTAAATAAAAGACGATGGAAGTTATCTCCCTTCCATTGTGAATTGACGCTTGATTGAATCAGAATTATGTGAAACTGAACACAAAAACATGAAACGCAGTATTAACAAAAGTATTTAATAAAAATGAAAGATCGCAAATTAAATCAAAAATATTTGGTAGTGCCATAACTGAGCTCTTCATCTTTAAGAACGAAACTCACAGTTGATAGAAGAAAATGCAAATGTACATACCTAGCAGAAATATTCCAATACTCAATACTTGTTAAACATTCAATGCATCAAAAAGTCTATGAAATGAGTTTGAAAGGTTTTAAATTCCAATGGAAGCAAATTTTTTATTTTAAAAACTGTCGATAATTGTTGAAATTGTTCATGGAAAAATGCTATCTTGTGGAATAAAATTCTTGTTGAGAGGAAATTTAATATGCCACAACTCATCAATGATGAAATAGTTAAATTTACTAAGATCCTTCATTAGAGGAGGGTGTCTTACTCCTACAAAATTAAAAATGTGGCCAGGCTAAAATTATTTCTGGACAAGCTCAGGAGAAAGCATTAGCATAATTTATCAATTTTTGCCAATGGCAGCCACATTTTGTGTTTGTAATTTTAATTTTATTCATGTAAAACACAACCTACATGTCTGTAATTTAGCAAACTAATACTTTTATGAGTTTTATTTGGTATAATTTCTCCAGTGCATTATTTTCTGTTCTTAATGTATGCATTAAAAGTGCTAAAAATTATTAAAATTCAATTTGAGTAAAGAATTTGAAAGCTATGTCTAAATTATTATTTTATGAAGTATTTTGATACATATCTTCATAAAATAAAATACACTAAGTTTAAGGTTAAGGTTTCCAAAATCATTTCATCTTCATAGCTCATAATACATAACCTAGTGAATAAAAGCATTGCTTTCATTTCTTAGTGAAATAAGAATGTCAAATTTTAACCTTGTCTAAAGTAGACTTTATTGTATATTAATCCAACATCAGATCAACAGACAAATACAAAAAGAAACAGAAATTAATATTTTCTAAATATTGAACATTCCAAATTAAGAAAATATATGAGATAGCCTAGTACTATTACACTTAGCATCATGAGTTCAAGCAGTGCAAGAGGATATCAACTTAACCAATAAATATCGTCCTGGTATCCGTTTAAACTGATGGCTTTTTTTAAAAAATTATTTCATATATCTAAATTCTAAACTCATCATTTTTAAAAGTGAAAATTTCACTGAAATGTGTTGGAAAATTTTCAGGTTTTCATCTGAAATGAAGGAAATATGAACTTCAAGCAAAATAGACAATAGATATGGGGAAAAAAAAGGTGTGATTTTAAACTGACACTAGGAGGATATGGATTAACAGTGTCGTAACACAATGAGAAAAGATGAAAATTATAAAGTCTAATATCCTGAGGAAGATGACAAAACACCAAAGATGAGAACAGTCTGCTTCAGTATTTTCTCTGAATTTCTTCAGACACATGTTACATCTGATAATCTTTAAGCAGCATTGAGAAGAATCTCCTTAAAATTACTGTCAGATAGTCCAAAATGTTTGTACAACTTTCAATCTTTTCTTTTTTTTATCTGTTTAAAAAAAAAAAATGTAAACTCTACCAAAAGTAACAGGCAGGAAGAATTTTCAGATATAATACAAATCCTACAGATATCATTTACTATCAGATAGTCTTCAGAAATGAATACTTATAGTAGTAAAGAGTAAAATCTGACAGAAAGATAATTAAAGTCTGCAAGTCCAAAGTTCACATGCACCAGACAATTCTTGAACTGAAGCTACCATGTTGCTTGCAAAAAATACGCACACCTCTTAAAAAAGCAAGAGCCAAACAAAATTTACATGTGCTACCAGGCTCTCTATGAAAGCAAGCTAGAGAGTCTGGATTTGCTTGTTCAGCAGATACTTTATATGACACATTCACTACTACATGTGGCATGTTCATTACTACATGTGATATTTTCGATACTATGCATGAGATGTTCGATGCTACATGTTCCATGTGGGCATTTTGTTCAGTAAAGGGAGCTTCTACTTCTTCACTACATGAACATAAAGCATCAGGACACCTACATGTATCATTTACTACACTTATACTTAGAATCAGAAAGAGTCAGTCAACATTTTGGGGACACATAATGAGGAAAGATGGCTTGGGAAATTTGACACTCACATGTACTGCAGTTATAACATTAGTGGCGTATCTAGGGTAAGATAGCATAGCAGAGCCCATCTTTCTTCAGATTGGCTCTGAATTCAAAGTTTTTATCTTTTTCCTGTTCTGATTACCACCTCAAGGCAAGAGTACCCAGTCAGCCATAACTAGGTGGGAAGGAGAAGAGAAAGATTCATACCTACATATATCATTTACTACACTTATACTTAGAATCAGAAAGAAACAGTTGAAATTTTGGGGACACATAATGAGGAAAGATGGCTTGGAGAAGTTGACACTCACAAAACAAGAAGGCAAAAGTAGCAGAGAGAAACAGCAAGTGACCTAACAAAGGAGCTTGTGTATTGATTGAAAGATTTGTTTTTTTTTACAGCTTATCAACCGTTTGCAGGTTATTTAAAGCCAGCAAATAAGTTTGGATTGTAAGAACATTTTAGAGATAATAATGATTTACTGATACAGGTTCTATGATTTAACCCATAGCTGAGGGGAGAAGAGGTGAATTCCTACCTTTCCCAAGGGTATTTGTGCAAAAGGGGATACAAGAAACCCAAATAGAACTTGGCACTCTGATTTCTTATTCCAAGCCATTTTCATACTACCTGCAAATCCAAGCTTACAGCACCTGATATTCTCAAACGGCTACCCACCTAGGTACTGACTAAGCTTGATGCTGCTTAATTTCATGGATAGGATGAGAATTGGTGTTTCAAAGTAATACGGCCTTAATCCAGGAGCTTGTGCAAATGGATCGCCAAATTGATACTGTGAGGAATAGTAAGGGAATAAACATTGCTTAAAGCTACAAAGAATAGAAAGTTGTGGAGAGCCATGAGTATAAACGCCCAGAAGAGACACAGCACATAAAAAAAGAAATTTAATACATCTGAACAGGGCAGTCAAAACACTAGTGAAGATAAGTATAGTAATAGAGTTTTTTGTGAAAGCAGGTATATTCATCTCAGTAGTGGGCAATGGAAAAAGCA